CAGTACATTTCTAAACAGTAGCATTTATAGTTGTCGGCCTCCTGAGTCTTTTCTTAGTGGTGTATTCTTTGTGACACAGGAGATCCAGATGAAGAGAACAGCAATTGAGGCCTTTAACGAGACAATGCTGATCTTCGAGGAGCAGTGTCGTGAACAGGAGCGCTATGGGGAGGAGTTTGAGATGAACAATCAGTCCGACGGAGCCGACAAAGACCTGGAGAGGTACTTCGTTGCATCATGGTCCCAAAAAAAATGTAGTTCTATTCGGTTGCATGTAGAACAGTGTATTAAACTGTATTCTTTTCCTTCCCCGTATTAGTTTTCTGATAAATTATGAGAAGCTGAAGTGTCGTCTCGGGGAGATCTATGACAGCAAAATCCATCTGGAAGAAGACTTGAGGACGCAGGTAGAGGACTACAGAGAGACGGACAGGAAAATAAACAGCTTGCGGCCTGACCTCATCCAGCTACGCAACATCAGAGACCTGTACCTCAAGTACGTGTATTGTCAGAATATTGTTTGTGGCATCTGTGGAAAAAATCTCGGTAGCTGCTCTGTGAAGTTTCTATTTTAAATTGAAACCTTTCTTTACACCTCTTCTTGCAGCTGGCTTAATCACAAAGGCGTACGGCAAAAACGCATAAACGACTGGCTGGGGATACTGAGTGACAGCCTCGATGAGTAAGTTTCAACAAATTCTTTCTGGAAACAATTTTTAAGACTGCACTTTTTAAGAGAAAGAGAATTGTTACGGAGGTGTTAAAATATGACTCTTGTTTTTTCAGCACATACGTTTTGAAGGGAGACGAGAAGAATCTGCCGCATCAGGATGAGACAAACTGGTTTGTTGGTGAACTGAGCCGGACGCAGGCCGAAGAAATGCTTCAAGGTAAAACACCCGGAACATTCCTGATCCGCGAAAGCAGCAAACAGGGATGCTACGCCTGCTCTGTTGTGTGAGTATAACATTTTAGAAAGCAGTCGGATCAATTTTTAGATGGATATTACGCATTGTGTAATTGTGTGACACTGACTTATGTGATTTTTTTCTTCGTTTATTTCAGTGTGAATGAAGAAGTGAAGCATTGTATGATCTACAGCACACCACACGGATACGGCTTTGCTGAGCCCTACGACGCCCACTGCTCGCTCAAAGACCTTGTCCTGCACTATCGCCTGCACTCCTTAGCGCAACACAATGACGCCCTGGATGTTCGGCTGTCGCATCCAGTACACGCCAAAGCCGCAGCCACGCCTTCTCAACACGCAGAGGAACACAAACTCTTACAGACTCCTAAACACACAGCGGGGCTCCCGCCGGCCGCTCCAGAAATGTAATCCAACGGAAAGAGACAAACGGACATGTTTACTGTATCCTGCGAGAACGACTGCATCGAGGTGCATTGTGTAAAGTTTTGCACTACAGTGATTCCATCGGCTTTTGTGAATGGGATTTCACAGATTGAAGTGGGACTGGAACTTGAATGTCAGCTTTGGGGTTTTTTTTGTTTTCAAAGAGACTGTTTAAGCTTTTTTTTTTTTTTTTTTTTGTACTTCATTTATTGCCGTTTGTTTAATGGACACCTTTCTGGTAGGGATGTCGACAACCAGAACATTGCTCACTGACATCATCAGGTGCTGCACCTTTGTTTGACTTCAACTTATACAACCAGAGTTGATGTTCCTAGAGATGTCCCTAGTTAAAGTGTATTCCGTTCTGAAAATTTGACCAATAGTTTTAGAAATATATTTGGTTTCTATGGAGTTATATTTGTGCCTCATTCCTGAGCGTGTGATTGCACATTTTTAGCACGGGAAAATAGTTTTTTGGACACACATAAATTATATTTCGTAGAGAAATTATTTGTCACGCGTCCTCAATGAATTTATTTACCTGTTTGCTAATATCCACATTAGCACACAACGATAACCTCTTTCACTAACATTTCACATTTGCCCTCTCAATGTGTAAATTGAAATCAATCTTTGGCAGAGGATACTACATCTCATTTTCTAACAATGTCATGAGGCTGTTTATAGTAATTAGTAAATTACATCAGCTATTAGAGACAGTTCAGGGCTCTACATGTATAATGCCTTAGGCGTGTAGCTGGCAATCACCAAGGAAGCCAACCATGGATGTATAATTAGACCTGGATACAGCATTTGAAGTGGGGCCAGAAGCCAAAAAAGTTTGACCTCCCCTGTATAAAATTAACCAGATATTCCACAACATTGGGCTCATGGAGCAAGCGCAGGACAGGCGTCCGCTGGTCGAGCGGCTAACTTCCAGTTTAGCCTTCCTCTAATTTATATGGGATTAAATTGACTTAATCTTGCAGCTCCTCTACTTTCCAAATGTTGCCAGACCGAATGGATGAAATCCTGATAGTGAAACCAGTCATATCACGGGCCTGTGATGCTCAGACATCTCTATCACAACTTAGGTCTATGGGAAAGTCATTGGTTTTTATTTAGCTACTGCATATATGGCAGACGCTAGCTAGCAACCTACTAAAATAGCTTGGCTGCAAGCTAATGAAGTATAAATAAAGGTAGTAAAGCTAGCTATCTCACCAAAACTGTATAAACTACTAATGTGGAGGCGATGGGCTGCTTATCTTCGAGTGCTTCCCTACCCCCCTAGTAACCGTTAATACCACTAACAATCAGATTGGAGACACAACAGCCAGTCTCTCTGATTGGCTGGCATTGTGGCACTCTGTCAAGTAGAGTGCGCAGAGCGGAGATGCTGGGAGTAACAGAAAAAAAGAGCTAGTGCTCACTCACAAAAAGCATTGAGAGGCGAAATGAGTAAAATTCCTTATGTGGATAATATGAAATATTGTAACAAGTGTATGGAGCACGAAAATGTTTTTTGTTGCTCAAGTTAAATAATTCTTTGCTTGACAATAATTTCTCTACAAACTATTATTTATGTCACTGTAACAAAAATCTTTCTCTGAGCTCAAAATGTCCCGTTGCATTGCTCAGGAATGAAAGAAATATGTTGCTACTACTTAGTGCATTTGCGAGGGGGGGAAAATGGTGCTGTAAACAGGCTGTTTCCGTCATACTGGTCTGGTGGACCAAACCATTTTTTGGGGAAAATGCCACGTGTGAATATGTGAAAAGTCGTGGTGCATCTTGACAATTTGCCCCTTTCTTAACAGACATTCATATACAGTGGATAATTATGTAGCATTAACATCCTGTAGAATACCATTGTAAGAGCATACTCAATGTTATACCCATTGACCAAAGCACTTAATAGTGAGCAAAACTACATCCCTGTTGAGTCCGGTAATTGCATTTGGGCAAGGGGAGGGCGATTCATGTACACCTGCTGATGTGCTGATCAAAACATAATCTGAAGTACTGTATGTTATATTCTGTTACTCAAAGAAGTATAAGCTTTTTGTATTCTATATATATTTTTTCTATAAACATGCCACAACATGAAAGCTTGAAGAAAGTGCAATCCAACAGTATTTCTATTGTTGCAATGTATGACGATGATGATGGCGGTGAAGGTAATGCTGTTATGAGAGGTTGACATTTGCCACAAAAATGCACTCTCTTTGGTGGTGTCGGTATGATGTGGCCTCCGATGTTTGTGTGAACTGCCAGAGGTCCGGAAGTATCCTGCCTCCATTACTTGAACTGTGGCATTGCTCGAGCTATGAATGTTTTTCATGACATGCAGCCTACATAGCTTAAGAGGAAAGGAATCCATGTTGAACTTGGCACATTTTTCAAGTTTGAGGACAATAGATAATCTGTACAGAGAAAACTGTAAAATGTATTTCTGAGGTTGGTTTGTGGAAGGAGGGTGATTCAGCCTCTTATAAAAATATAACTCCACTGGGGGATTGAGGAAACTCCTCGGGTGAAGCTAAGCAATGTGAGATCCTGACCTTTTTCTTGCTGAAAGACAATAAACTGATGAGGGTTTTGTCAACTTACGTAATCCGGCGTTGTTGTTTTTTTCACAGTCTGCTGCTGATACTGTGCGAGCAATACACGGTGTCACTTTTTGTATCATTTAAAGTACAATTTTTCATGAACTTGGGCAGAAAAAATATCAAATACAAAGCACAGAATGACTTAAAGGGATACTTTTCTTTTTTTCAATCTGCTTTGTAACATACCAGTGTGGGTAGTATGTGTAAATTAACTATGTTAAACTCCTCTCTATCTTGCCAGCACAAAGATCTCACTGCTCATTTGGAGTGTTGCTCAAACTACATTTTTGTACGCTCAGCGCCGCCACGGACACAAAGTGTACAGAAGCAGATCGTGAAAGAAAGCCAGCACTTTCTCTCTCTGTGCGGATCAAGAGAGGGCCACCCTTGTCTCTTTCTCTGCAGACCGAGAGCCGAAACTCTCTCAAACTCAGACAAAACTCTAAAAACGGTAAAATATGCAGTGCTGATCAAATAAACACCAAAATTCTGTTACAGCATTTTAGTCACTACATTTTAGTGCACTGTTTCGCTGTAATTTGTTTGTGATCAGGAAGTGGGTGTCATACTACTTTCTATATTATGGAAAACAGAGGATGAAAGGAAAAAATATTAAAGGGTAAAACCAGGCAGCACTGATCAAATATGAACCACGATTCAGTCCCCACATTGCCTGTTTCTCACCGAAAATGTTTTCATAAACATATTTTAACTTACAGTTTAACTGCAGTTTGAGACTGTTACCAGCCGGCTGCCATATTTTTTCAGACGAGCAACCTGCATTATGTCACCCACCAGTTGGAGCGTTTATTCGTTCTGTGCAGCGCCGTGTATTCTAGTAATTTTCTACCTCTTGAGCAAAAGCAAATGCCTTTCTCTTCTGTGTTGTTTTGGTCATGCAGCACCAATTTCAAAAAGTATCTGCATCTTTCTACTGCATCGACAGCCCAGTGTTTTGTTTTTTTTTTAAAAGACCATCTTTCCAGCAGTGAAACACTTCTTTAAAGCGAGATAACTAATTATCTTAAATTTACCATCTGTCTCTAGTGGTGCCATTGTCGTCCGATGAGCTTATCCTTGGGTCAGCAGAGATAGGAGGCAGCGAGGGCGCTGGAGGACACACTGTGGACAGATGGAAGAGAAAGGAAGCGATAAGACAATAGCAGGATATGTGCAGGCCCTTTCCCTACTCAGCCTGGCCGCTGTTGAGTCACTAGAAAACAATCTATCAAACCTACCTCACTGAGAACATGCTGTATTGTCAAACACAACTTTTCGGAGGCTCCTGTGAAAGGAATGTAGCTCACACTGTAAACATTTAGCCCCAGCCAGCTCGAGAGTTTTGTCTCCAGAACTTAATTACACAGTCAGCGCCATCATCTGATATTACAGATGTTTTCCTTTTATTAATTTTAACACCATCCACACAGAAAAGCTTGTGTAAATCTTAGGATAAAGCCACGGATGGTGATGATGATGACCGCAGGTGACACCACCATCGGCCCTCCGTGATCAGAGCAACAGGTGGCCTATTTCAACCATCACATAAGGTCTGTGTTAGGTAGGGATTAATGAGGTGCAGAGGGCAGGGATGTACTGGGGGTGAACTTCAGTTCCAGGCCACGGATTACTCCCTCTTACCTGTGTCAGCACAGAGAGCTGGTGGACAGGCAAGCATGCGTGCTCTGCTAGCATGGACCAGATGCAGGGGAGATAGATGGATAGACGGATAGATAAATGAATGGATAGGACAGACTGTACCAGCGCTGAGTCACACTCAGGCTGCGTGATTGTCCGAAAGACAGGGAGAGAGTGGGAAGAGAAAGTGTGTGGGGTGGACAGACAAGGAAAGAGGAGGGACAGGAAAGAGTACATTTTTCTAACTCCTGTACAGGATGGTATAAAAAATGAAGGCTGGAAAGGTCAAGTTAGGCCTCTGCTACATTTCCTTTGACCTGAAACACACTCCCACCTGGCCATACCCCAGAGGTATTTGCTTTCACAGCAGTTTAGCTTTCGCTGCCCGGTCCTATTTTCCCTCGCTCCCTGAATCTGAGTTTAATCTATGTAAAAACCCAGCCCCCACATCTTACATGCACAGTACATCTCTGCTTTCGTCCTTTTCTCTTTCCTTGTCGGTACACCTCAGTCACACAACTCGCTCGTTTAAATTCACAGTCATTTTGATTTATAGCTCTCAATTTAACCCTTTCATGCATAGTAGTGACTACAGTGGAAAGCCATTTAAAACCTATTTTCTTGAATATGCGTGGGTTTTGATGCTATTGTCGCACATAAGCCACTACAGTGGATGCTAGTGCGTCATGACATACACTGCCACCCACTGGCCAGGTGTTGTAACAGCAACATAAATATCTCAAAACTAAGATGGCCGACGGAACGCAAGAAATGTTGTGCAGCTCAAGAATATCTTGCCAATCCTTCTCTAACAGGAGACCCTTGCAAGTATATAAAATTCAGAAACATCAAGTCACATCCAATAAGTAAAACAGTTGTTAAAATTTCAATTATTCATCATGGATAGCTAACATGGACTGCATGTAAAGATGGATGCCATGACAGCTCCCCAAAAGTGAAGCCGAAGCATCTTGATCGCCCCCTGGTGGCTGGCTGCAGTATAGGTCATAAAGCCCGCCCCCTTGATGTTAGTGGATGGGACATGGACCACACTAAAAACCTGAGCCGATGTCAAATAAAGTTTTCCCAAATGTGGTTTCTGTCACTTACAGTAGTTTTAATCAAGCTGCTGTTTGTTAAAGTGTTCATTTTTCTGATAAGTTTGGTTTTAATTAGTTATTCAATGCTACAAAACGGGGATTTTACAACATAATTGACAATTAGGTGAGCCAATCAGTGGTGCTGCTTGACAGATGAAACTTGATACTGCAGAAATCACTACTGCGCAGAATCTGGCTCCCAATAACGTCACCAGAGCGAGATGGCAGTGGTCCCAAAAGTGAAGCCGAAACATCTCGACTGTCCCCTGCGGCTGGCTGCAGTATAGATCATAAAGCCCGCCCTCTCCACGTTAGCGGACGGGACATGAGCCAAACTAACTCAGTGACGCTGCTCTCAATTGGTCGGATGGGTGTATGGGCGGGACACTTAATAGTATTCAGATCGCTACTGCGCAGACTCTGGCTCCAAATGACATCACCAAAGCAAGATGGCAGCAGCCACATCTGGGGTATTTTAGCCTCACTTTGTACAGTAGGGGTAAGTGGAGACACATCGTCCATCTTTATATAGTCTATAATCACTGGCTATATTTCAACTACGGTTGACATGACTACTGCAACTTTGTCGTTCTTAAAAAATACTTAATCTGCAGCAACTCTTTGGGCTTTAAATTAATTTTCTTATTAGAGTATAACTTGAAGTTTTTGTAACAAAAACAATATTTTACTGTGTGACTTAGCTGATCTTTGTAATCATGTGTAGTTGCTGTTTTATTTTTTGCTTTTTTACGGTTCATTTCTGGTATATATTAACATACTTTTTGGCTTTTCTTTATAGTAATCTTATTTTGTGTTTTATATTGAGCTTTATTTTGTATTATCATTCTATGTTGTCTGTCTTAAACTTATGTCTTGGCCAGGACACTCTTGAAACAGAGATTTTTAATCTCAAGAGATTTCTCTGGTTAAATAAAGTTTAAATAAATGAATTTTTGCAGAAAATGTTCATTGAAAAATATATGCAGTTCAACAGGGGGAGGTGTGTGGAGGGCCCTGAGGGGTCAAGAGCCACAAACTGAATGACAGAGGGAATAAGGGAGGACAGAAGGAAATGGTATAAAGAGAAGAGAGTCTGAGGAGTCAGGAGCAAACACTTTTACATTGCATTGGACAGTAAAGAATATGTTAAATATGTGAACACACTAGTTTAACAGCATTAAAAGTAGTTAAACATAATAGTCAATGCATGCTGTGAATCTTAGAGGACAGGTAAAAACTCCTTGAGAAATACATGTTAAAAACTGAACTTTAACTTCTGTTTTTCATTCTTAAAGAGGAGAATAAAAGCTTAGGAGCAAAGTCTTGACTGAGGTATTCATAATTCATGCATGAAAGGGTTAAATAAGTCCCGGCTGGGGGGGCACCAGGACGAATTACCTTTGGAGTCACGCCTAAAATACACACACCATCAACTGTCTCGCAGGCTCTCATAAAAAGAGGTTTTCGCTTTCAGTTTGGCCGCAGCCAATCGCGTCTCTCCTCCCCTCTGTCTCCGTCCGACTACACCGTTTTCACGCTACCCGAGCAGCCAATGGGAGGCCGGGAACGTGCCGCGCGTCAGCCAATCAGCGGCCAGTTGCTATGTTGGAGGCAGAATCGATAAGAGAGGGATTTTTTTCTCCTCCCTTTCTTTTTTACTAGCTCACATTATAGCTGGCTTATAGGCTGAAGGCAAGAGATCCTGTTGCCTGCCAAGCAGCATGTAGGCTACGGGCTGAACCATTAAACATACCAGCTCCACATTTCCTTTGAAGCCTCTAATACAACCACAAATAAAAAGCCAAACAATGTGTTTGTATATTGTGTATGTTTCTGTGTGTGTGAATGTGTCTGTTTATGTAAGAATTTAGCTTCACAAGCTGCTCACCCTCGTTGAGGTCATGGAAAAGCTAGAAAATTAAAATTCCTTCCAAGCCTGGAGGAATTATAGTAAATGATGCACATCTAACAAGTTTCAGAATGAAAGTTATGTTGTGAAAGTTTGCACATGAGCTTTCATTTCTCTCAGGGCACTTATTTTCTTTAAAATCCTGGGTATCCTCATAATAAAAGCCCAATTAACAACATGTCTGAGCCCCAAATGTACAGTAAGGAATTACAAAAGACCTTGAATGCTACAGTGAATATTGTAGGCCTACATAAGATGTTTATCCATACTTATGTACATTTAACTTCTTTGTTGGAGGTTTTTAAAAAGGGGGAAAAAACATAAAAAATACAGTTCATGGCATCATGTGAATCCACAGAGAGGAGTCTCAAAAAAAAAAAAAAAAATAAATAAATTTAAAAAAAAAATGTTGGGTAGAAAAACTATGAAATCAAAAATTGTGAATTGTAGTTTAAAATAAGTAATTAATTACAGGAGTCTTTACGTGAAGTTTTGCAGTTATTATTTCCATTGATCAACTTTCAATAACCTGTCTTGCCACCTGGTTTTCTTAGGTTCATCAGGGATTGCTCCTAAAATACAATGCATCTAATGGTAATAAAATGGCCACTGTATTAATCCCTGTATGTCCTCCTGGTGACCAATCCTGCCCAAGATATCTTGAATTACTGATCTGTGTCCTCAGTTTAGAATAAGGTGCAATCATTGTTTGAAATGCACCTGCAATTGTATTTTAACTTGATAAAAACAGCAAAATTGCGTTAAACAATTTGCTAAACAAAAGTTAATTATGCAATGAAAAATATAGGGTGGCATTGCTTCATACTTGTGCACTGTATGCGTCACCTATTGGCCATCTGGGTGACCTCTGGTCACAGTGATTGGAGTAAGGGGCTCAGATCACACTGAGATGAGAGGTGACACTGAGCCAACTCTTATAAAGGCATAACACAATGCTGCTTGCTGACAAACCATTCAGGAGAAATGCCAATCCAGATCCAAAGCCAAATCAGATTTGCAGACACCAGCTTAGGCCTGAGACAGGAGACGATCCCACCTCCTCAAAACAGGTAGACTCAACTCTGAAATAAAAAACTTTCCTTTTGGATAAATGCTCAACAGTTTGCGCGACATACGTTTTACATTGTACTTCTGTTTCTCAAGGGGAAAAAAAAAAATCCTCACTAATGATTTCAGCTGTAATAAATGAAGGACCTCGACGTCCCTCAAGCTCTCAGGACAATCTCATTGCGGGAGTTCAGCTCTCAAATAGATTAAAAAAAGAACCGGCGGGCACACGGCCAGCAAACCAATGTAGCACAGGACTGACAGACTGCAGATGACGGAGAAGCTTTAGAGCTCAAATCAGAAACCAGCTTGGTTTGAAAGCTTGTATATACATTGTAGGTGGGGAACTTAGCCAAGATAAAGAGGGGTTATGCAGTTCACAAGTCCTGTCAGGTGAGAAAGACACCTTGACTGGCATTATCAGAACAAACATGTCGACAAGATAAGAAGGAAATTTAATACCAGCAAAAACTAAAATACCCTCATCATATAACAGGGATTTTTGCAGTTTAAGTTATGGGTAATATTATGGAAATAATAATAAAAACTCTGACCACAGAGCGCTGTAATTACTTTCTTTGCATTATCTGGTTCAATTTAAAGCCAATCATAAATACTGAGTAAAAGCTGAACTCTACCTACTCCCATAAGAGCCCTCAAGCTGTCAGATTCATGTTTTTCTTTCCTGGTGAAAGCAACGTCTAGCCAGAAGACATAGTCCTGACGAAAAACTCAGACATACCCTGCACTTAAAACAGAACGGTAATTACAGTGACCGCTTTCCATAGGATGACCCTCACACTATTTACTTTTTCTCCCACTACATGGGAGATTCTGGGTGCAAGGGAAGCACGCCACTTCCCATCACCACAATGGCGAGAGAGTGCAAATAATCATCATGCCAGTGACAAGCAAAAACATTGCCTATAGGAGAAAAAAAAATGAGACACTGGAGCCATGCCTAACAATACAAAAAAGGCACGCTCACATTTACAGAGCCACTTTCACCAAAAGAAGTCTGTGTCACTACATTCAAATTCATTTTAGCACCTCACCTACTTATTAAAACCTGTTTTACAAGAGACACCTGCCCAGGCAGCAGCATAAAGAACAAAAGGCAAAGAAAGAGAAACACGTTCGTATTACAAACGGAGCGCATAAAGCCTAAACACTAGAGACAATGAATGGAATACAGTCATTAAGATTACTTTACAGAAGTTAGCTGAGGCCTGTTTTCTGCCTCTAGTAATGAAATCTACACTACAAACAACCAAGAGCAAATGTCTCAGTTACGGACTGTTAGTAATTTTTTAGGTGGTGCGAAAAAGGGCAGGCATGTCAAATAATTCTTTAAGCACTTTTTGTAGCACCTATGTTTTTATTTTGGTTTAGGGGAGGGGTATAGAAATTTGAATGGTTATATTTTGTATTTATTTTGACACAGATTTAAAAAGGAAACATGGCGGCTTTAGAAATCACCAAAATAGCACCACTTATCAAAGGCAGAAACTGTAAAGGTAGAAATTATTTTTGGATTTTCAAATTTCTTACAGTCCTTGGACACATCATGTGTGACAAACACTTATGTCAGAAAAAAAAATAAATTAAAAAAAAGCATGCTTAACATAGCAAAACTTTATCAAAATCACTTTATTCAACCTCTCATTGAAAATTTGGCCAAAAATAAACCATTTACACGAACTAACCAGCATCCACAATGAGCAGAAAAAACGAGGCTATTTCAAACTCCAAGATTTCGCCTTGATCCTTTAACTTTAAAACATCAAAGCCTAAGTTTTAAAAATCTAAGAGTGAATTTATGGTGGAGGCAGGGTCATGCATTTTTGGCAGTTACTCAGGGAAGCTCATGGAAAAATATTGGTGGTTTCAGGGAGGGTCGAAATTTTAAAAAAGTCACACCCCAGCCACCCCTCTCCTCTGATAAGTAAAGAACACTCCCTTATTTAACCTCTGACAGACACATTATTATGCTGGATTTGTGTGTAAAGAGCACGTATGTCCCTCGCTCCTCCATTGATTGAAAGGAGGCTGTTGTCAAACTTCAATAAAACACCAAATGAGGCTCTTGAATTGCAAAACAGCACCGATCACTTCACGACTGCTAAAAATACGTAATGTGATTAACACAACTCGGGCCTGTGTGGACAGTGACAGTGCTCGTGACACCATCGAGAGCAATGAATCTTATTCGAGGATGACAGATGCATTCTCTCTCCAAATGCTGATATTTTTGGGTTCTCTGATTAACATGTTGCCAGTGAGCCAGATTTAAATGGGATGATTTTTAAAAAGATATCACATTACAGGATAAAACACTGTTGAGCAGGTTCAAGTTTGCTCATGGGAAGATTAATGCTGAAAGTGAGCTGTGAAAAATGCCAAATATGACAGAACATAGTTACCATTTGGACTGTCAGTCCCGTTTGGCTAACCTGCAATGCCTTTCATGTTTACAAACTGACTGTCGAGGCAGACAAGTAACATTTCAAGTCTAGATTTTCAAATTCCTTACAAGATATTTGGCTGCAAAGAGGGAGTGCATTTGTTTTTTTACAAAGCCTTCTCAGTTCAGAGGGCGAGCTTTGCCTTATATTGGCTTACTAAGAGTCCATTTAAGCTGTATCCAATAAGCGAATTGTTCAGCAGTGATAATGGTCATAGTGAATGTCCTTTCAGGAAACAGGACACACTGGAAATTTAACCATATAGCATAGCAGGAAAGAAACACAGCTACGTGTGTAGTGCAAAGGGTGGCCAGGATGGCGCAGGGGTCGTACCAGGGCTCCATCTCTTGTCCATAAATCAGTGAACAGTTTAGGTCCAAGATACATCTCAGATCTCCTAACCCAGTGTGAACCTTGCAGACCTCTCAGGTCGGCTGGGTCTGGATTACCGGTTACTCCCAGAATAAAAACTAAACATGGTGAAGCTGCATTTAGTTTCTATGCCATTGAATTGTGGAACAAATTACCAGCCTGGAGAAAATGCAGAGCACTTTGAAATCCAAACTAAAGACAAATCTTATCACCACTGTTTTTAATTAATTCTATTTTAAATACATCTTTGTTTTATAGTTTTTCATTCTATGTGCGATTGATTGTTTATACTTTTATTTTATTGTTTTACTGTTTGTTTTTTGTATTCTATGATTGTGATTGTTCGCTTTTATTGTTTTGTTTTCATCATTTGTTTCTTGTGCTTTTACCTGCGCTGTCTGTAAAGCACTTTGGGGTTGCCTTTGGGTATGAAATGTGCTACATAAATAAATAAATTTGCCTTGCCTTGTCATGTCTCTTGATATGAAGTACTGTAAAGGGATATGGATGGTACAAATGCAGTTTGAATGGTAAAAATTTGTTCAGCCACAGTGGAGATATCAATGTCTAAAATCAAGAAAACTGTCTTGCCCACAAATTTGAGGGCGTAGGTTGTCAGGAGTGTAACATCAGTAGGCTTTAAGCTGTCGTAGGTGGATGATTTCAGCATATTTACCCAGGGAAACATACATTGAGCACTTTGACAGAGGGAAAAACACTGCTGAGAACATAAAACCCTTTGAAAGGTCTCCTAAATGAGTCATATTAAAAGGATATTGAGCCAGGGAACATGGGCTCCCATTGGCACATATCTATCTACCTTTGAGTTTTAATTAGCCAACTGTTAGTGGCACCACATATTCTCCAGTAACCTACACCACTGGCTGTTAGACTCTGGGTGACACATTGAAATAGCAGGAAATACAAGTCAAGTGACAGTTACAGGACTTTTTCCTGTAACTGTCACAGGCGGTTTTCACCTCAGTTCAGTGCACCAGACAGGTCTAATGGGTCCAGGCAGTGCTGCAGTCCTGTATGTAATGACAGGTTTCCAACATAATATTTAAACCAATTTGATGTCAAGCTACTGATTAAAACAAACTGGACTACCCGTTGCCACTGGCTAAGAGTAGGCTAGCTCGTAGGCTTGGTCAAACCTCCAAGTGGAAGAGGTTACAGCCAACACAGTGGAGGATGGCTTCATCTAAAATTACCATTATGCTGGGGGCTGACATGCTAAGAATACTATGATAATTTACATGGAAGGTTTCTGTGGCTTGTTGTCAAGGACTTCCATTTGTTTGGCTGCTTGTTGAAAGGCGACACTGCCATCTGGCGTTGGGTGCTAGCAAACCTTTATGACGAACTTAGCCAAAAAACAAGTCGGTAAACTGACCAAAAATAAAAACAAATTACTTTAATTTTTGTTTCATGAGTCTAAATAAAAGATATAAGACTTTCTATGCACACAGTTATTTCACTCAAATTTTGTTTGCCAATATGTTAAAATNACATTAACTAATAAGACTTACCTTCGTGTAATTTAAAGCTCTGTCTCGCACAACAGAAAACGAGGGTCACCAACGATAAAAAATAAACGATACAGATAATGCTACATTCTCGGTGATCGATTAGTGACGACTGAACATCAACTGCCAGACCAGAGCAATCGATCCAGAAAGCTGTGTTGACAGTCTGCAGGGCGACGGAAGTTGCCTGCATCCTCATCAGTAAACTTATGGGTAAGTCGCGGCTTAAACCAAACTAATTTAGATATATTTTTATGTAATAAGAGTCTGTAACTCTCTGTGGGGTTACACTATTTAAGCAGGGATTATTTGAGCTGTACAGTTGTCTCATTTCAGTTGAGAATTGTACTGATGAACATGATGGTTGAATCCACCCTTAGCGAGATGTCTATTGGCTAGCATGTCTGGCTAACGGCGGTGGTAGGAGCTTATTTATGACTAATATAAAAATGGTGGCTGACAGTAACTTAACTATGGTTGCACCAGTGTGGGTTACAATGAGTCAGTCCAGAAAGCCCATTTATATACGTGTATATTATGTTTTGTTGCCGATAATGCCATAGTTTTGTGTTGTTACACAACATTAAAGGGATAGTTCTGTTATTTTGAAGGAGGTTTGTATGGGGTAGTCCTGACACAGAAGTTCAGTAATGTGCTGCCATGGAGGGGTCAGCAACATGTATTTTAGCAATCTAAAAAAAAACAACAACATCAGTTTAACTGTATGCAATGTTGAGAGTATTGTCAGTGCTTTACCGTAATGCCAGACAGTGATTTCCAGTGGGAAAATTAAGCTGTTAGACAGTCTCTTCAAAGCCAGACTCCATTGAGAAAAACAGTGATTTAACGTCGCTAAACACAGGAGCTGCTGCTCAACTATTGCCTTGAAAATATACTTTGTTTGTGTTATTGTGTGATGTTGGTGGTTAAAAGGGTTAGTTCAGATTCACTAAAGTCACACAATAACAAAATGAACAGACAGAATCAGGGCTAGACTAGCAGCTCTCGTGTTCAGCGTGCTAAAATTGCTATTTTTCTCAATGGAGTCTGGTGGCTCTTCTGAGAGCATAGGTTAGGAACTGAAGCCTTTCAGAAAATACTCTCAATATAGCATACAATTAAACTGATACTGATTTTTTCAGATGGCTAAAATATGTTTTGTTGCTGACCCCTATCCACAGCAGTATATTGCTTAGCTTCTGTGTCAGACTCCAACCTGCATAAGTACTCAATACAACCCCACTTCAAATATCCCAAGTTATCCCTTTAATGCATTTCAGTGACTCTGTGTGTGTTTAGGTGTTGATACAATCAGCTGCTGTGTCTTTCAGGTTTATTATATGCTGAGACACACTAGAGAGGAGGGTTCAGCCTCCATGTTAACACAGCCCAGCCCCATCTGCTATGTCCTCCACCTCCGTGTCCACTGGTTGTGGTGGTGGTGATGCTGCAGCTGCCATGGCAACCCAGGCATCCGAGCAGGCTCTGCTGGCCTCAGACCGCTACGCCAGGCTAATCCTGGCCCAGATGAACAAGATGCGGCTCCGTACCGACTTCTGCGACGTGGGGCTGAAGGTTGGCAGCCGGGTCTTCAGGGTCCACCGACTGGTGCTTGCTGCTAGCAGCCCGTACTTCTCCGCTCTGTTCTCTGGGGGGATGAGGGAGGCGGATAAAGAGGAGGTGCAGATCCTCGGGGTGGAGACTGAAGTCTTTGAGGTTTTGCTGGACTTCATATACACAGGTCTGCATTTATCCTGATATTCTCATCGTTGTGTTTCATAAGATCTGCATAAATTTGGTGCCATTTTCTGAGTGGAAATATGTACCCGTTTCTATCAGGCGTGATCAGTGTGACAGTGGAGAATGTCCAGGAGCTGATGGTGGCAGCAGACATGCTGCAGCTGAACGAGGTGGTGTCTGTCTGTGGAGAGTTTCTCAAGGGCCACATGGACCCGTCCAACTGTGTGGGCATATTTCAGTTCCTGGAGCAGATTGCTTGCATGGAAATGCTGGAGTTCACTGAAAACTACATCCACGTTCACTTTCTGGAGGTATGAAATGAGAAGAGGCACTCTGTAATTTTATCTCTCTGCCAATACTCTGGGGCTGCAATGTTTCCCTGTTAAAGTAAAGCTAGATGCACATTAAAAAAGTGTTCCTTTTTTTCTTTATTCAAAATAAGCCCAGTAAAACGCCATCTGCATTTTATCAGAATTGTAGTTTTGCCATTTATTTTGCAAAAAGTACTTTAACTCAGACTGAATTTTCAAGTTTAATGCTTACAGATTGCCTTTACTCCTTGTAGGTGTGTGTCACAGATGAGTTCAGAGGCCTAGGGAAGGATCAGCTTGTGAGGCTGCTGAGAAGTGAAGAGCTAAGAATCGAGGATGAGTACCAGGTATTTACTGCAGCCATGGACTGGGTTCTCCAAGATGTGGCAAAGAGGAAAAAACATGTCGTGGAGGTGTTGGAACCAGTCCGCTTCCCTCTGCTGTCCCCACAGAGACTGTTCAAGTACATCGAGGGTGAGGGAAACGTAACATTTAGCACCGTCCTTATATATTTATTGTGTTATATTCACAGTACTGCTGTAAAATTGACGAGGTGACACACTGTAAACATTTTGAAATGTTTGCCATGTTTACATTTATATAAGGTATTACAGACTTCAGCCTGCGGGTGGCACTGCAGACTCTGCTGAAGGAATACACTGAAGTCACAAAGTCTCCCAAAGAAAATAAGATGTACAGTCAGCTACAGCCAGCCAAGATGAGACCCAGACGAAAAGCCAGAAAATACCTCTATGCCATAGGTTCGGTTTCATACCACCTTAAAGTAACCTAATGAGTTTCCAAATACAGAATGTTAGAAATCATACTTAATCTTGGACGTGTTCTTGTTCCCTTGTGGCAGGAGGCTACACTCGGCTGCAGGGCGGCCGCTGGAGTGACAGCCGGGCGTTGAGTTGTGTTGAGCGCTTCGACACCTTTAACCAGTACTGGACCACTGTGTCGTCCCTGCACCAGGCTCGCAGCGGGTTGGGGGTCGCGGTACTGGAGGGCATGATCTACGTGGTGGGAGGTGAGAGCTGAGGCTGTTTTGTGTTTAATAAAAGAACCTCAACAATCCTCAGTCTGACAAGGAATGATTCTTTTCACCAGGGGAGAAAGACTCGATGATTTTTGACTGCACTGAGAGATACGACCCGGTGACCAAGCAGTGGGCTGCTGTGGCATCTCTGAACTTTCCGCGCTGTGGAGTTGGCGTCTGCCCCTGCCACGGAGCTCTGTATGCACTTGGTAAATGCCACATAAGCAGCATGTTTAACCTAAATACACACAGCACAGACTGGTGGTTCAGTTTTGAGGAGGCAGTCTACAGATTTCCCACATGACGACCACATTGATAATCATACCTTATTGCTACTCAGCCTGTGAAAGAAGGTGTGTAATGTAATAGGTTAAATGATATCAGTGACATAAACCAGTTGGGGAAGGTTTAATAAAAGATGCTATTGTGTTGCATTATGGGGAATGTAGGATCCCCTATGATAAACTATAAGTCAGGATATGTCAGCCTTTGCTGCTTTAATTTTGACTGATTGTTTTCTTGTCTATCTGTCTTTTGAGAGTCCTCCAACTTCATGGAAGTGTAACACTAAATTTCTGGAGCGCTCCTTTAAAAGAACACTTCACCCCTCAAATGATCTTTTGTATGTCAATTACTCACCCCGTGTCACATTGACTTCAGTAAGAAAACTTGTTTTTCGGGCGTGCCTCCATGGTGAACGACGAATCCAAAAGTGGAGAAAATTCTTGATTAATTGAAGTCATAGGGGGCCGCGTTTAACAACAACAAAACTACATGCAAACAACCGTTTACAACTCTCACACAACTCTTGCAGTATAATCCAAGCCTCATTTATCCCTTTTGGGTCTGAGCCTATTTTGGCCGTTTCGCCTGAAATATAGTAAAACTGTTAATACAACTCTTCGATACAAACTGTGTGCAAAATTACACACAGAGCTACACCAGTGCTTTGTTTTCCCAGAGTTCCAATAGTGCAAATGTAATGTAAGAGGTAAAACTGAGATGTAATCAAACTATATACAAATATTTCAAACTATATACAATGGGGCACAGTTTTCTTCTTCTCTTTGAAACACTCTTTCTTCTTCCTACTAAAACACTCTCGCCACTAACATCCCCATTTTACTCATGGATACATATTTTTGTACTGTCAAATTAAAACTATGATATCTCCAGTTTTACATGGTCTATCAACGTCAAACAAAAACTGGGAGAGAGTTTCAAATCAGCACTTTGGAGTGCAATAGCGCTACAGGTGACCTAGTTAGTTTGTTACAGTGCTTTGAAAACATCACTGGTTCTGATTACGCCGGCGTGATCATAGACCTTTATGGGCTAAAACACAGAGTACAAGCAGTATGACGTATGAAGTATTCCTTTAAGCACAGTGAGTGAACATAGTAGCAGTGTTATTGAAAACACGATCTGTCATACACTGAACTAAAAATGAAAAATGATGACTTTGTGAAGACCTAATGCTGAAATGAGGTAAAGCTGTTTTTGTGAAAATAACCAGAAATGTATTCAGAAGTAGGCGTGTAATATTTGGAGACTGTAAAGGAAGGAAACAGAAAATTACAATCAATGACACAGCTGGTTAGGGTGATAGAATCTCATCAATATTGGATTAAAACAACGTGGAAAATGGGAGAACAAAAAGCTACATAGCGCCAACAAAATTATTTTGTGAACTGAAAATGAATAGTAAATATTTACTAAGTGCAGCTCCGTCAATAAGCAGCATCTCGGGAAACATCAGACTAAAATCATACGCTGATGATTGTGCTGTGCTTCTGTAGGCGGTTGGATTGGCTCTGAGATCGGGAAGACCATGGAGCGATATGACCCAGAGGAGAACAAGTGGGAGGTCATCGGCAGCATGGCAGTTCCTCGTTACTACTTTGGCTGCTGCGAGCTACAAGGTGGGTTCCTCTTCTTTTTTTGAGAAAAAATATGTGTACAATCCAGTGCAACTTGTAAGTGTTGTAACACACTGTTATGACTTTGACACTTGGTAAAGAAGCACTGGACTAAATCCTGTTTTCTCCAGGAGCATAACTTGGACCCCTTCACTTTTTACAGTCTGAAAACTAACATTATATTAAAAAACAGGATAACTGCATGCACTCGGTCATCAACAAAGGTTTAATGTCTTAAGAGAAGGATTTAAATTTTTCATCATAGTATGGTGACCAGACTTTTTGGAGCAAGTATGTGTGTGTTTATGTCTAATTCTGAAATCAGGGTTCTACTGAGTGAAACACAATGCTGAATTTATCAGCAGACCTCAGTAACATAAAGTAGTAATAAAACAAATAACTTCCAGGATTCATTTTTATATTAGATATGAAATGACAGAAGTACAGTAAATCAGTGACACATTCCCAGCCCTGATGACTAAACACATAATTCACGGTGTTCTGCTGAGTTAATTTCATAACAGGCAATTTTCTAACATAGGCTGAGAATGCAGTCGGACAGGGAAGTACAGGGGCATCATGTACTGATGTTGAGTGACAGACCTGTCAGTCCAGGAGTCCTTCTCATCCACGATTTCTGATTTAGTACTTCTCTGCAATGTCTCGTGAAGCTTCTTTGGTTTTATTATTTCTCTTGTCAACTCTTTTAAAGATTTGAGTGAAATTTCTGACTATGACAACTTTGTGTTTAAAATTCCTGAGGCTCTAGTTTTATAATAAATACACATTTTAATATTCATATTGCTTGGAGGTGTACGGCAGATATCAAGAAACAATTAGCGCAAGTTTGAACTAAATCCAAGTAATAGGTGAAAACGTTTTTGCCTGTGGGGTGAGTCAATATTTTGATAGCATATTTTATCATGACTCTTTGCTGTATTCTGCTATATGAAATATTTCTGTTACGACTGTCCATTTCATGAAGACATGTCATTATGATGATTTGTCTTACCTTGGGTAGGGGTGTCTAAAAAACTAAGTGCCTGTACTAACTGTGTTCCCCACCTTCATAACTCCACCTGGTTTTCTCTGCTAGGATTTATCTATGTAATCGGAGGAATCAGTGACGAAGGAATGGAGCTGCGTTCAGCTGAGGTGTACGACCCCATCTCCCGCCGATGGAGCGCCCTGCCCGTCATGGTCACACGTCGAGCCTATGTGGGCGTCGCCTGCCTCAATAACTGCATTTACGCAGTGGGTGGCTGGAATGAGGCGCTGGGTGCACTGGAGACAGTGGAGAAGTACTGTCCAGAAGAGGTACAGAGGAACAGTTTAGTCTTCAGTCAGTTTTTCTGTGTGTCCGAATGCTCTGTTCACCTCTGTTCTTGTCTTTCTACAGGAGAAATGGATCGAGGTGGCCTCAATGTCGACAGCTCGCGCAGGCGTGTCAGTGTCAGCAGTTAACGGGCTGCTGTATGCCGTCGGTGGCAGGGCCGCCAGCAGAGACTTCTCTGCCCCGGTGACAGTGGACTCTGTAGAGATCTACGACCCTCACCTGGACACCTGGACTGAAGTGGGCAACATGATCACCAGCCGCTGTGACGGCGGACTGGCTGTGCTCTGATCACCTGGGACATCCAAACTGTGAACGTCCATATCATCCCAAACCTACATGAACTGAAGAAAAGCTGCACCTTAGGAAACACAGAAATGTGTTTCTGTCTCAAGTAGGCTTTCACATGATCATGTGTTATTTATACATCGATAAGACATGTTTTTCTTTTTTTTGTCCAGAACATTTGACAGTCCTTGATCATATGACAGACTGAAACTGGAAAACTGCCAAAACTGGTTGTACTGTTACACGACTCATCATCATGAAATACTTTTACAAGAGTATCCGTGGAAACACTTTTCAAGACAAAGCGATCCTTGTGATGAGGATATTTTTCACAGCTGAGGAGTTCTATTTTGGATGGACCAGAGTTTTTTCTTCAAGTGTGAGAGTCCTATAGGGAACACAGTGCGAACAGTCCTTGGACAAGATGTCAAAGCACTTTTTAAAGTTTCTTTTCTCTTTTGTTAAAGGGACAGTTAACCGCAAAATCAGAAATACATATTTTTCCTTTTAACTGTGGTGCTATTTATCAGTCTAGATTAATTTGGTGTGAGTTGCTGTGTGTTGGAGATATCAGCCAAAGAGACGTCTGCCTTCTCTACAATATAATGGTACTAGAAGAGACTCGCTGGTTGGGAAAACTACAGCTGGTCAACAAAAACAAATTGCAGTTAGCAAACTGTGAGGGTTAAAAATTCCAGACCGAGATGCAACAACTTCCAACAAACTTGTTTAATCAAATAAGCTCATTTTTAAGATATTTTTCGGGGCTGTTTTGCCTTTATTTGATAGGACAGATACAGTTTGAAAGGGGGAGAGAATGCGGGTATGACACACAGCAAGGGGCCGTGCGTTGGAATTGAGTCTGCGGCTGTTGCAGCAAGGACACAGCCTTTGACATGGGAGACCTGCTCTACCAGGTGGGCTACTGGGCGCCCCATAAGCATGTATGATTTTTGAGAATTTAATGTGTTATTACTCAGTTGTTAAAATGGCATTACATTTGGTGAACAGTGTAATATGACTTGTTCAGGACCCATAGCTCCAAGTTTAGGACTTAGAGGGTTCCCACAAATTTTTATGAACAAAATTTGAAAACTTTTCCATGTCTTTTATTTTTTCTTGCCCTTCTTGCCTGGCACTTTTCAAACATATCAGATTGAAACTATATTCAAACATAATTTGAGCTAGCTGGCAAACATGGAGGGAGAGATGGAACGCAGGGAGAAAACGAAACGTACGTGATGGTAAAAAACATGACACATTGATGCATGTTTGAGCTGTGTATGTCGACAGCTTCAGAAAATAAATTTGCTGTTATGTTACATTACATGGAAGGTTATCCATGGAAGACTTTCCATGACAAAATTCCATGACTTTCCCAAAACTTTTAATGATTTTTACTAATTCCATGACCTTTCTAGGCCTGGAAATGTGATTGTGAAATTCCATGACTTGTCCTGGTTTTCCATGACTGTGGGAACCCTGGACTCGGGACTTGAGTGCGTAGAATTGAGACTTGTGAATTGCAAAACAATGACTTGGTTCCATCTTGTTCATGAGTAGATGCACGCTTCCTTCTGCACAGTGATAAGGTGTGAGCAGTTTCATGTAGGAACTGTTTTCTTTCTACCCAACTACACCCACCAACTGTATCACTGCACCACAAGCTGAGTGACATGTGGCTCCATTATATTAGAGAGAAGGCAGACATCTCTATCGTCGATATTGCCAACATTCGGCAACTCACACCAAAACAATCTAGACTGATAAATAGCACTAGGTAAGAGGAAGAAATATGTATGTTTGATTTTGGGGTGAACTGTCCCTTTAAAAAAAATGTATGAGGTGAGTGCATTGCTACTTGGAAGGTTTTTCAAACCACTTGAGCCTATTTAATAATGGAACCCGAGTTCCATAATTCCTGTAAATGATTATGAACTTGAACAACGCACCACTGTTGTCACACCAGTGCAGTTATCGCTCAGTAATTTTCACTGGATTATTTTTGTATATATGATACTGTATATAATAGTGCCTCTTAGTCACGACTCACACACTCTAATCCAAGTGTTTTATCATTTCACTCATCAGTGGCGCCTGACATTACCAGAACTTACATTTCATTTACATTTCAACTCTCTGATGTTGAGACACACAATGTAGTTATTATAAGACATTGCACAAATATAGAAATGTTTTTACCTTCTTTACAGTAAGTTGTCTTATGTTTCCTGTTTTGATGTTGGAGCTCGTCACATCTGCAGCTGAGTGGAGCCAATGCACAGTAACAGTGCTTCCTGCTAACCCTTTACAAACAGCAGAATATTAATGTTACACAATGGTGATAACGTCTTTTACTGTTTGCTTTTTCAGATTTAATAAACTCATAAAGGGGTTATGTGTGTGCTGGGTTTAAAATTGACTTATCTGTCTCTTCATTTAAGATTGTTATAATGTAATATTTTTAAGGTTCAGTGCGTTGGATTTAAAGGCACCTATTGGCAGAAATTAAATATAACATGTTTTCATTCGTGTATAATCACGGGACAAGGGCCAAGGGTTGACTACCCAGTATGCTTCAAGCCTACAGAGTGAACGGTGATAAAAGCACAACCCTAACTAGCAACATCCAGTGTCCACCAGCTGATCTGCTCCCAAAATAATTAGCTTTTCTGTTTTTGTTGTGACAGTAGCCTAGCTAAAGAAGCGGCAGTGACATCATCACCTTTCTGGAAAGTTACGAGATTTTCAACTAAGAGTTCTTGGAGTGGCTGCACAAAAATGGCTAAGTGCTCATAAAAGCGAAGGCGAAGCTTTTGATTTACTGGTCCAGCTACGTCCTAACCCTCACCTATGGTCATGAGCTTTGTAGTGACCGAAAAAATGAGGTTGTGCATACAAGTGGCCAAAATGAGTTTCCTCTGTGGGGTGGCTGGGCTCAGCCTTAGAGATAGGGTAAGGAGCTCGGACATCCAGAGGGAGCTCGGAGTAGAGCCGCTGCTCCTTCGCGTCGAAAGGAGTCAGTTGAGGTGTTTCGGGCATTTGATCAGGATGCCTCCTGGACGCCTCCAGTTAGAGGTTTTCCGGGCACGTCCCACTGGTAGGAGGCCCCAGGGCAGACCCAGAACACACTGGAGGGAATACATATCTCATCTGGCCTGGGAACCCCTTGGGGTCCCCCAGGAGGAGCTGGAAAGTGTTGCTGGGGAGAGGGACGTCTGGGGTGCTTTGCTTGGCCTGCTGCACCCGCAACCCAGCCCCGGATAAGCGGAGGAAAATGGATGGATGGATGGCTCATAAAAAAGTGGTTTCTATCTACATATAGAGCAGGTCCTCTCCCACGGAGTCTGCCATGTCATTTCTACAGTAGCTCAGAAAAGACAAACCAGACACTGGCTCTAGATAGCACCATTGGTGTTTTTTTCAGCAGCCATCATAGTTCTCCTAAACTGTCAGCTCACAGGAGAAGTTTCAGTTCTGCAACGTCACCACTAGATGCCACTAAATCCTACACACTGGACCTTTAAAAGAGGGCTCAGCTCAGGGGACCCTCATCTGTAAACCTATAAGACAAACACATCCTGAGTTGACTGTATATGTTTGCAAGAGATTTTCTGCACTGTGCAAACAAGAACATATAGGACCACTAAACTGCAGCTCTGCCACTAAACTAAGCACTCCTGGATTTACACTGAACATTTACCAGTAAAACTCACTGTGATAGATTCTGACCTTGAGGTTGTGATGTGTGAAAACACAACATCTTTACATAACTGATAATATAGCTCTGTATCATATACTGGAGACTCTTTAGGATGAATATAAAAAAATTATCAAAGAAGCAGGGAGACAGATTGGTGAGGATGTTTGGGAACAGTTGGCCTTAATGGTGCTGTATGTAACTCTGAGCATTGTCACCTGACGGCAAGAGGGTTCCTGGTTCGAACCCAGGGTGGGGGGAGCCTGTCTGTGCAGAGTCTGCATGTTCTCCATGTCAACGTGGGTTTACTCTGGGTACTTGTGTGAATGTGAGTGTGAATGGTTGTCTCTTTCTATGTGTCAGCCCTGTGATAGTCTGGTGACCTGTCCAGGGTGTACCCTGCCTCTCACCCAATGTCAGCTGGGATAGGCTCCCAGTGTTCTCGGATCCTATAGACACCCCTGTGTACACCTAACCTTTGCGGGGCTGCTGTGACTGGATTTACCTTTTGGAAAGAGATGAGTGAGGACAGCAAACTTTGAAAGGTTGAAAACAAGCATTTAATGATAATTTTCATTGTTTATTTATTAATTAGCCCCCTGTCATTTTGCAAAAGTTGCCCCCAGGAAAAGTAAGTTGAGTATTCTTTGTGTACAGTATAAAACACAGACTGTCTGCACATAATTTTACATTTTTATTGAGTCCACATGGAGTAAAGTACAAACTGTCCTCATAAATCAGCTCTGAATCTCTTTGATCTTCTTCTCGGTGCAGAATTTTTTAATTGCCAGGGTAGCAACCAGTGAGAAGGTGGCGACCAGAGTGAGGACAGTTCTCATGGCTTTGAACCAGGACGGGTAGCCAGGCAGCAGAGTCAGGTCGTAGTGCAGAGAGAGACCCAGTCCCATAATGACTACCAGAGCTCCCTCTGCAATGTTGTCCCTGCAGAGCAGTGCCAGCCAGGCTATGAGTGAAGGCACCACACTGTTGCCCAAGTTCATCCAGTCAGGCTGAGCGGGACTACCAGCAGGGATGGCAAACCCCCAGCGGGCACCTCCGAGGAAGGAGACTATAGACGCTCCGTAGACCACTTGAGCATACGCCACTTCAGGGTAGAAGGACTGTGTGGCAGCCATCAGCAGAGGGGCGGACAGGAACGGGAGGAGCCCAGAGAAGCCGAGGTAGAGAGCTGGTCTGGGGGCCTGGGTGAGGGCCTTCAAACTGAAACCCTCCTTGCTTTCGCCTCTCTCTGAGGTGCCTTGTGAATCCCCGTGGCAGAGACGTGAAGCAGGCCAGCTCACGGGCCTGATGCTCAGCAACCTGTTGGTGGGAGTGAGTCTGGATGGATTTAACACTGAGGAGGCGTGAGAGTGAAACAGCAGCTGAGCTTTTGTTGTGTAGTTTGGTGCTCTGGGTATCTGCTGAAGACATCTCCACACTGGAACCTGAGAACATAATAATCATAGAAGTGCATAAAGATCAAGACTTGTGTATATAATCAGTGGTGTGATACGCTTATTTATTTTTTGAGAGTATCTGTACTTTACTTGAGCTTTTATATTTCTTTCAACTTTCACTTTTACTCTACATTTCCCCTAAGCATCTTAGTTACTTACTGCAAAACAGGGAAGAAAGGAAAGAAGGATGGAGGAAGGGAAGGGCAGACAAATGAAGGAACAGCAGAGAGGGAAAACTGGATTTTGTTCTTTTAATTCTTTAAGACTAGTAGACCCTGTTTTTCATCAAATGTAATATATACTCCATTTTTAAGATGGTGTTCATGTTAC